AAGTAAACATATAGACTAAATAAACAAATTTAATTAAATATATTAAACATCTTAAATGTTATATGTACTAAATTAACAAATTTATTTAAATATGTTAAGCATTTTGATTCTCTTTTATATAAGTAATGTTTTTTTGTATGCACACCTAATTTTCCTTTCTACTTTTTTTTCTATCATTTTTTTTTAATTTTTTTTATTTTATATAGGTAAGATGTTTTTCGTATGCACCCCTAATTTCCCTTTCTATTTCTATTTCTTAATTTTGTTTGTCTTTTTTTTTTTATGTCTTTCTGTTGTTTTTTTTTAATCGTCTATTTTCTTATTTTTTTGTTTTTAATATTTTTAATAAATACATACTATTATTATTATTTTTTGTTTAAATTATCTTTGTGTTATTTTTTTACTTAGACTGTCTATGTGTTATTTTTTTTTCGTTTAGACTATTTATTGTTATTATTTTATTACGATTTTCATAGCCTTTAAATAAAACCCACACACAAACATAGATATAAATGTTTATAAATTTTTTTAATACAAAGTGTTGGACGACAAAAATAAACAATTATAGTTCGAATGAAAGAAAAAGTTAAAGTTAAAATTCAAAACATCTAATCAAATCAATTTATTCAAAATGATAATAATAATAATAATAATAATAATAATAATAATAATACAAAATTAGGCAACAAAAAACAAAAAAAAATGATAAAATACATCAATTAAAATGGGTTAGAAAAAAAAACATGGATAGAAAAAATTCAAAAATTAGGGTTTATGTATAACAAATTCAAAAATTAGGGTGTATGTATAACAACGCCGATTAGGTAAACATATAACCCATTTAATTAAGTATCTTAAACATCCAATTAAAAATGTTGGAGATTGATTATTTAAAAGGTTGTTAACTTGTTTAACTTTTTTTGTATGAAGTAACTTATAATGTTTGGATCCATATAAATTTGTATTTGTTTTCTTCTAATTTATTTAAAAAATGTTTATTAAATAGGTGGAATTACTTTAAACATCATATAGATCATAACCACTATTTTTTTTCATTATCAACAATGTCATACAAATTAATCCGTTTGTTCCTCTTTTTTTTCTTCATAATTTTACTATCTATTAATTAACAAAAATTGGTAAACATTATAAACAATTTGTTACTTTGTAGTATTTTTATAAGATCCAACAATTTCTTTTAAACAAGATCTATCTTAGTATCACATAAATTATTAATAACATTTACAGAATATATATATAATATATATATATATATATATATATATATATATATATATATATATAATATTTTAAGTATACAAATTTTTTTTTCTTAATTTCCGTTTCCGGTTTAACCAGTTTGGTTTTTTAATTTTTTTTTACATCTTAAAACAACCACAACCAAACCAAATAAGTTCGGTTTAATCGTTTTGGGTTAATTCGGTTACCATTGATTATGTTCGATTTTACGGTTAAACCGAATAAAATTTCACATTTTAAAAAATAACAAAAAAGGAACATACTAGACATTTACCAAATGAAAAAAATACATTAATACATAACATATTATATTTAGTTTTTCACAATATGTTATCTTGAAGTGTTGATGATGTAGTCATAAAAGTTGTAAAAGTTAATTAATATAGCTTTATTCGAAAATATGGAGACCAAAGAAATAACCAAATGTTAATTGACAATTGACTAATTAGCTATTGATGTTTAATAAAATATCAACACAATTATAAATTTATAATGCTTCATAATTAAATAATGAGTTATCAAAATATATTTTTTTAATAAATAATCCATCAATTTAAATAAAAATTTTAATTTATAGATATGAACTATAAAAACATATATTAATTTAATAGGTTATTAACCAAATTAATAAAAATTTAACCAAAATCAAATCAAATAAAGTAATTTTATTCGGCTAACCAACCGAATTAACTAAATAACCCAAACCCAATAAATTAAGCATCGTTTGGTTAATTTCTTTATCACTTTCCTACTATCAACACTCTAAATTTGGGTTAAACTTTCTTTGAATATTTTTTAGTTTTGAAAAGTCAAACTTGTACATCACATGATCACTATAGCAAAAATATGAATATCTATAAAAGGTTACTATGGATTTAAAATTCATAGCTATTATGCTTATTATGCTATATAAAGGATTAGGTGTGAGATGAGTTTATTTAAAACAATTAATTATGAAATTTTAACAATTTGAACATTTTGAATTTATAAGAAAAATAAAAATTATTAAAATTAATGAGACTTTAATACATTGAATACATTACATATATAAATCATTTATAATAAATACCATACATATATATTACCTTACATATTAAATGTGAAATTTTAATTTCATAAAATGAAAAATACAATAAAATGACAAGTGCAAAATAAAAAATTCAAAAATTCTAGGAAATGACATGTGTTCAAATGAAGGAGAAGATGACATGTGACAAAAAAAAAACTTGATTTATTAAGAAGGATAGTCTATAGCGCTTGTTGCTACGAAATCCAAATTTGTAGCTATATTAATGGCACAAAATTTTCTTACGAAATCAAAATCGTAGCTATTTCAAAATTTTCTATAATACATTATAGATGTACATATTTACCTTATGATGGTATTTTTAAGATTTTCTTTTTCTAAAACTTTTTACAAATTGAAAAATATTTACCTTATGATGGTATTTTTAAGATTATCTTTTTCTAAAACTTTTTACAAATTGAAAAATATTTTTACCAGTAGAGATAAAAAACGTTTTTTAATGTCACATTAACCACATACTAAACCCGAACCTTTTAATCACCGTACAAGTTTTGTAATGATTCTTACATTTAGTAATAAATCAATTTACCTTATTTATATTTAAGTATTGAAATTTTATTATTTTTTATTAATATACAAACTAAAAATTTGTTTCATTCAAAAGGTTATTTTTCAATTTTAAAT